TCCCTACAGGGCATGTCTTGGTCTTACTTTTAATTTCAGGTCAATTTTGTCATTTCCAAGAGTGAGACTGAGGAAAAAGCACACACGGTTTTGCCTGTATTTTTAAATCCTGAGTGTGAGATTGGACCAACTTAAACTGGGACACACTTGAAATTAGCACACAGAAATGTGGAGTTAAGCTTCTGGGAAAGAGACATGTGGGAAACAGGCATGTGTGATACCACTGCATTAAGGTTATAGATGCCTTATGATAGGGGTTTACGATGACATTATAATAGCACTTAACAACATAACAGGTAAAGTGAGGAGGGTGGTGAGACTGTAATGTATACAATACATAAAACTGCAAAAGAGTGTTCTGAACTAGGTCCAGCTCACCTCCATCCGGTTCTCCTGCTCCAGAGGCTTTATACCAGCAAATACATCCTCCTCTTCATTTCCCCCTTCACCTTTGTCATCATCTTCCTTGGCTACCTCTTGTGGATTCAGATAGTACACCTGGTAGTCGTCTTCCTCCTCTCCATCATCTCCTCCCCCTGCTGCACCATTCTCTCCCACTTCTTCTGGCTTCAGGCTCACACCACCACTGTTCTCATCTGCAGAGGGCAAGTCATCATCACCACTACCCATTTCCCCCACAGGATCCTTGGGTGATTTCTTAGCCATGGAACTGCTCCTGACACTGGGCTCAGGTCCCTCAGAGAAGTACACGCCACCATCCTCCTCAAAGGTGTCTCTGTAGCTCCTGCTCAGTGGACTTTCTGTAAAACTAAATGTGTTGCTGGCTTCTGCCCCCAGAGCCAAGCTGCTGTCATCCAGGCTCATCTCTGCCAAGTCTGGCTCCAGAGAGCTGTCTTCACTGCTCATGCGGCGTTTCCCACTATGTTTACTGGTCAAGCCTTTGCTCACTGGCAACTTTGCTTTGCCCACTGCAGTCTTATACACAGCTTTGTCACCTTCTGCTGAAAGTCGCCTCAGAACCCGCTGCGGTGTTTCCGAGACAGCTTTCCGCTTCCCAGTGAGTTCCTTCGGACGAACTGCTGGCTCCTGGGGAGAGGGACGCAGCCTGTCTCCAGGCTGCAGACACGGTCCCCCAGGCTCCTGTCCATGGGTTCGGCCAGCCTCACAGGCAATTTCTGCACACTGCAACCGGCAGCTCCTCTGCTGGATGGCCTTTACCCAACAGAATGAGTTTTTCTTGTCAGTGCTGCTATATGTAATCCCGGGAATGGGATAAGCTTCCTCCCAGTTGAAGTAACAGGCTTCCACAGCTGGCTTGAAACCCTGGAAGAGCTTCTCCAGTGATTTCTTGTGCTGACCCCTCTTAACATTATCTATGACTTTCAGCTGCCACTGTCTGAGCTGTGAGCAAAGGTCCCTGCGCCTAAGAGAAGAAGTAAAAGGACAGATTAGAAAGCAGACAGAAAATGCACCTGTGACAAACTACCTCCTAACCCATGAACACCTCTTCCTTTTGGTCAGAAACACCTGCTGAATTAAGTATAAACAGCATTAGTAAGGAGACAGGCTGAAAAAAGGAAATGGGTATATTAACAGCCAAGTCCTAGACAAAACCATAATACAGAAACAAAATGTGAACAGTACTAACATGAAAGCATAATACAAACTGGGAGGTTTAAAATGAAATACTGTCTGCCCTGTTTGCTTATCTACCTCAAATAAGATATTAGTGATGTAAGCTTGGCAGTCTGAGACCAGTGAGCACCACGGGGAACTGCTATTGGAAACACTCATAAAACAGTTTTCAACAGCTGTGAAACAACCCCAGTCAAGACATTCACAAGTACATTCTAATCAGCCTACCCAGGGAAGCACAATGCCAGACAGGACCACCTAATCTACGTCCCAGGCACTTACCTCTTTACCTTGATAGGCCTATCTAGAGCCCAACAATTTAATTTAGGTTTTAGCAGGCTGTCCTCAGGAGACTAAACTGTTGCAAGCCATTGGCACAAAACAAGCAAGACAAAAATAACTGATATTCAAATAACTCTGAGAAAAAGCAAACCAGTAAGGTTATATAGACTTAAATTACACAGCAGTTAGTCCCACGCCCCTTATTACCATGGGAAGCAGCATTTCTGCATTTCACAGCTCCAAATCTCACACAGGGCCTAAGCATGAGCAAAACAGTCTAAACAGATTACACATTTGGGTGATCAAATTCACCCAAAACAGATTTCTAGAAATTGCACCAATTGTCTCAACCAATTGCCATCTTGTTTCTGCCACAGACTTCAGAGATCTAAGGTACAAGCCCAACACTTCGATCCTCCCAGATTTCCTATCAAAAGCAAAAGAACAATAAAAAAATCAAATAAAAACGGGGTGACCCAATTTAGATGCAAAGGACAAAAGGGGCTAAAAAGAACAGACTGCTTCTATTTGTCCACTAAAGAAATTAACAAGGGAGCAGACTGGTAGGGCTAAATCAAGGAGAGGATTTTCAGAAGGAAAAAGAAGAAAGAGGAACTACTCAGGAAAGGTAATATAAGGATGAGAGCCTGCAATGAATTAGGAATGAGGCAGCAAGTCTCCGTATAATTCACTGGAAAGAATAGCAAGGATGGGAAGAAGAGGGTTCTTCTTGATGACTACTCAAACGCCAAGAGAATAGGTAATCAAGCAGGAGCATTTCAATTATGCATCAGCTCAAGTAGGAGATCTGAGCAAATTTGAACTGCGTCAAATAACTCAAATGTGAATATACATAGCACAACTTCATACTTTATTAAAAGCCAAAACTCTTTATGGTTTTCTATGTGATCTGATCGATGTTTGTGTTTATTTTAAGCCTCAATCCCAGTTTCCTACAGTTTTTGATTTGTCTTTATCTCCTATATTTAGCTGCTTCATACTGTAAACTGTACAAGATACAAACTGCATCCATTTTAGTGTTCCTGATGTACCTTACATACATAGGGCATTTTATTAATGTTACACAGAAAGCAAATCCTGTTAATGTGTAATTGTATTGAAAATATCATCCTGTTTTCATATCTTCTGACAAACTTTTTCTGGGCATTTATAGCACATTAAGTTAATACAATACATACTTGGTAGACTAGATGTACAAAACAAATTATTACAATGTCGACCACAGTATCTCAATACAAGCCCTTAGTACCTACACTATTATCAACTAATGCTAAATAAAGGTGGCAGTGATTTACCAAGGGACAATATAGTTTAGAAACATGCAGGAGCCACACAGTTTTTCCTCTATTGAAAACACTAACTGAAAAAAAATCATACACCAATGACATTGTTTACCAATACACTGCAGTGAATAAACTCCCTAATAGCACAGAAAGCAAGAAATAGTTCATCTTGAAATAGACAACAGTGAATGATTGGGCTAAACAGAAATCCATTAAACTGCTGAATAGTTAAATTTAGAAAGCATTCAAATTTATTGGTAGCTGCTGTAATCAAATGAATGTTCTCCACTGGCACACTGAAATGCAGAATTACACTCAGATGTAAAAGAGAACTCTCAGAAAACAAATTATTCACACTACATGATGTAGCTAAAAGTGAAGAGCAATAGCAATTCAAGTTTAAAGTAACTACAGTGCTACTGAACCTTACATAGTCCAGAAGGACTAATGGTTTAACAGGTAATGAGGTAATGATACAAACACAAGAAATCTACTGGAAGGAACTCCTGAGTGTGCTTGAATATCACAGATATAAAAGAGAGACTGGATCTGATTCACGTGCTCACCTCTGTGGACTAACAGTTGGGTCAAGGACAGCCAGCCTCCAAAGAATCACCATCTCATCACACATACTTGCACAAGCATGAGCAGCTACTTCTGACTGGCCATTGCTGCGTCCTGTGTGCCCGCTAGCACTGCTGTGTGATGCAGATGTTCGCACACTGTACCACCAGCCGGTTATCTGCAGAAGAAAATGTTCAGTGGAGCTGTGTTGTGGCCAGCATCTCATCCCCGGCCCTCACTCTACCTCATAACCACAAGGAAAGAGGATCTGTAGCTAGTAGCATGCTTTCATTTGACTCCAAAATAACTATGAGCATTAAAGCAGCATTGGTTTGTAAGAACTAAGGACCTCTCAAGATTTCTATGGTTAGAAGGCACATGCCCACAGAACAAAACACTCATAGGAGGTTCTCTCACTAGAGGCCTTCAAACTTGAAGGGAAAAAGCGAACAAATGTGATAAATGAAGCATTTCCTTTCCCCTGCTCAAAGTTGAGGTATGTGATAGAGCAATAAGTAAGCTTACACCGCAATTCGTATTACAGAGCAAGATCAATGTCCTGATCTGTCAAAAGAAACCTTTTTCCTAATATTATTGTTAAAAATATACTAAAAAAAATTATTTAAACCTATCAAAAGATATATTTTACAATAATAACAAAAGACTCAGATTCTACCACCTAACATATATCATATTTTTATCAAAATGGCAGCTTATATATACTGATATACGATATGATACAAGATGTATTTTGCTTACGAAAAAAACCCAAACATTTAAACAAATCACCTTGATTGGGCAGAAATCAAGTCAAGTAAGTTGAACAAAAGAGAACAGACTCCCTATATTAATGTTAAAAGGACTGAGGCATGTTTGGGATATAGTGTTACCAGTACATCATTAGATCAGGAGACAAACAAACTGTATGTAACATCATTTTAGCTTGGAGAAATAGACGTCCATAATGCATACAGACTGTTTAAAAAAATAATATTTTTTCAGCCATGGATTGTACAGGCACATGACACCACTCACTGGTTCAGCCTGGTTCCTCAGAATTTCCCACCTCCACAGCAAAGAGATTCAAATACCTGCTCATAGTTGAGACACTGATCAGTCAGAATCTCCAGCAAAGGAGCTGCATTGCTATCCCGCCTCTTAAACATCTCTCGCACAATAGAAAGCAGGTTCCAGATTCCTTCAGGCTCTCTTCCTCGCAGGGGACGCAGAAGGCAGGCCCACTCAGCAGCAGCTGGTGGCTCCGTGGAAGAGAGATACATTGAATTCACATCACTGTAGATTGAAAAGCAGGGATGAGGAAAAAATAAATCACGCATAGCCATACAAAATCCCTATATTCTACATTCAGAAGTATATTTGCACCTTAAATGGGACAGACAAGCATAACCCGAAAGACAGGATCCATAACAAGACTGACAACACCACACAAGCAAGGTATTGTGCAAATACAGTGTGCTCAACTGAAATAACATTGGACAAGCTATACAGTCCAGACGACTGACCATGAAACTAAGCATCCTTCAGTCCATGGCATTACATAAGGGTACAGGCTATTATACAGTGAATGAACTTACAGATTACGTTAATATCACATTTTCCCTTCAATGGGAAACAGTTTACCTGAAAACAACAGGAGAGGGTCCACAGAATTTGTGAAGGGTTTTCTTTATGTTGTCACTCAGAGTAGACTCATCTAAGTACCAGGTGCTTTGATCTGATGCAGAGGGTCCAGCAGTGGGATCTTGACAAAAGAATAGCACATACACAGTCTGGAGGATTTGAAGATATTTTCCTCCATTTGCCCAACCACAGGGATTACAGGGAGTACACAGGCAGTGTTACTCAGCTTATTTCACCTGTTGCAGAACTCATTATTCAAAATGACCTTAAAATGCTATCATAACATTACCTTAAGCACTGACAACACTAAATGGAGAGACATGGCTGTCATGCTGAATGGTAGCACTACAACCAGTGAGACCAGAAGAAGTTCAAGGACCATGCCAACAGAAACCTCATGAAGTCCATTTAGGAAAAATGTACACTCCTGTACCTGGGACAGGACACCCCATGCATCAGTACAGAGTGAAAACCAAATAACTGAGTAGCTGATAGGTTTCGACAATTATGGTGGATGCCCAGCTGAACACAAACCAAGGGCAAACTTTCACTGAAAACACAAAATAAACAAAACAACAAACAACCAACCAGTCAAAAATCCCCTGCAAACTGGGATATATTAAGAAAAGCACAGCTGACAGATTTAAGGAACTTATTTTATCCCCCTCTACCTGGCACTGGTAAAGTTACACCTGGAATACTGTATCCAGTTTTGGGTGTCTGCACCCAGGAATGATAATAAGGAACTAGAGAAGATATAGTGGAGGGGTATGAAGATAGCTGGGGGCATGGAGCACATGATTTATGAGGTGACATTGAGGAAAATGGGATGATTTCCTTTAAAAAGGAGAGGGTGAGGGATAATCATTAACAGCCCACAGCTACTTGAAATCACAAACACAGCGCAGACAAACTCTTCTCGGTAGTAGATGATAGAAAGGATATTCATACTGGACAGGTGGAAAAAAATTGTTGACCAAAAGGGTAATGCAGCACTAAAACAATTCACTCTGCAACATCTCTGGTAACCAAGATTTAGCTAAACTAGCCCAAGCCACAGCTAAGCCAAGCTAGAGTTGTGAACGGTCCTCTTACTTAAAAAGTTCTGTTTCAAGTAAGAGGTTGGAGAGGTCCCTTCCCATGAGCATTTCCAGGAGTCTATAATTAATACTGATTTAAAAAGAAAAATCTTTTGTTAGAAAGGTGCATTGCCTGATGCTCCCTTCCTCCGCATACACTCCGAGGCATTCATTACACGAGATACTGCCTCTTGCTCTGCCATATATACATGCAGGTGCCTGTACTTATCCCTCTTCCTTGACCTCCAACTGCAATTTAAGCTACATGGTAACAGACCAGTTCAGAAACTCAAATCAGTGGAAATATATCCATTTCCTATCTGTGACAGAGATTACCGAAATAAGATGTATCAAGGTTACCTGGGGCTCCACACACTGTGTTGATGGCAGTAGACTGAGAAGATAACAGCTCATCCAGCAAGCGCTGAGCTGTTGGAAGAATCTGAAAACATGAAGCAAACTTTCAGCATACACAATATTTCTTATCCTGATATACCCAGTCAAAAATCTGATTGCATTTTCATGACTGAAGCACTCCCATAATTTCAGAGGTATCAAACGCAGCTTGTTTTCAGAAAGGACGATAGAGGGTGCTAAAGATTATAGAATAGAAAACCAGCTATTCTCTTTTCTCAAAGCAAACCTATGTGCAAGGCTTACTTCCTACATTGACACCCTAAGAAGTAAACAAAAGCATCACAGATTATTAGTTCCTTTCTCATTTCTTGAGGAGTAGGAGCCCATGGAGAGTGATACTGCAACTAATTTTGCTGCAGGGATGTCTCTCTGCAGTCAAGGTCAGCATTTTCCCATACTTTCAATGTTCTTTTTTTCTTGTTCCTAAATCATTCTCTAAAACCCAAACTAATGGGAAGAGAGGAGCAAACTATAAATTACATATCTACATAACTTTTGGCGCAGATTTCAGCTTATTTATCATCCTGTTAGCAAAGTGTCCTGGGTTCAGCTACAGCAGTCATTTTTTCTCCTTCTTAGTAGCTGGTGCAGTGCTGTGGTTTTGACTTTCAGCCTGGGAATAACGCTGATAACACTGATGTTTTTAGTTGTTGCTAAGTAATGTTTACTCTGACCAAGGACTTTCTCAGTCTCATGCTCTGCCAGGGAGGAGGGGAAGCCAGGAGGAAGCAGAGACAGGACACCTGACCCAAACTGGCCAAAGGGGTATTCCATACCACAGCACGTCATGCCCAGTATATAAACTGGGGAGAGTTACCCGGAAGGCCCAGATCACTGCTCGGGTCGGGCTGGGTATGGGTCGGCGGGTGGTGAGCGGTTGCGTCCTCTCCCCTTGTTATTTCCCTTATCATTATTATTGGTAGCAGTAGTGGTTTGTATTATACCTTAGTTACTGAAGTGCTGTTATCTCAACCCGTGGGAGTTACATTCCTCTGATTCTCCTCCCTGTCCCTCTGAGAGCAGTGAGAGGGAAAAGTGGGGAAGTGAGCAAGCAGCTGCATGGTTCAGAGTTACCGGCTGGGCTTAAACCACGACACAAAGGTAGACATCAACTAGATATCAACTCAGACTCAACAATAAACTAATGCAATTTCAGCACTAAACTAATCATAGCTTCTGGACAGTTCAGAGCATAAGCAGAGAAGGCTCACACCTGACTGCAAAATCCTAAGTAGATATACCCTCAACATGCTCTTTTTGAAAGAAAAACACACAGTAGAAAGTGTTTCTTCCCAAACTAAGTCTCAGCTGAAACCGTAGATCCATTCAGCCTTTACCATACACACTTACAACAGGTCAGGCATACAGTTAGGATCTAAATTACTTGCAACAGAACAGCTGATATCCCCCGCACCTCTCTCCGCACAACAGCTGAGGTTGAAGATCACACTTATTACAAAGCAAGGCACATTCAGTACGCTTATATTTGCAAATAATACAGACCTATCTCAAACAGATAGAAGAAAAACAAAGCTTCAGAAGGATATTTTGCATTTCAGTCACCTGAAGAAACAAACTCAGCATTAAACTGTTCTTGTACCTGTTTCCACTACTACATATATTAAGTCACCACAGAAAAGTAACAGGTCTAGGCAATGCCACACCTTAAGGTGGAAGTATTGGGGATCTGCAGTGATTCTCCTTGAGGAATTTTTGCCAAGATACATTTAATTGGAATAGGAGTACTAGCTTCATGAAGGGAAACAGCTCTTGGGAGAAGAACTGGGTAATAAATTCCAGCTGCCCAGAATCACTGACATTTTCACAGATATGGAAAACACTTCCTGCAGAGACTTTGAAAAACATCTCCTTATCTAGCTGCATTCCTACAGACCATCATCCCTCCACGCTTCAAAGTAATTCAGCATTACATTACTGTATCATAATGTCATTCACAAGCTGGAAGTTAAAATATAATAATGTATACAGCCTACTCTAAGTCTACATCATGTAGCCAAAACAGAGGGCCCCAAGGTATCAGAGTATCTGCACACAGAAATCTTGAAAACCAGGAATGAGACTGTTGGAAGAGTTTAGGGCATGCCTTGCCTTTTTCAAGGGAATTACACAACACAGGTTAAAGCGCATCTGCCAATAAACCCCTAACTTTTTTGTTGGGCAGCATCCATCAGATTATCTGGCAAGACAGTAACAATTAAATAATCCAGATGTGCACAGCTGGTATACATGACAGAAGGAGAAATAATCCCTGCAAAAAGGAGCAGACAGAGTATTTGAAAGCAAGCAACTTGCATGCCATTCAAAAAACAACTACCACTGCTACTAGCCTTTCAAAACCCCCATTTACTAGGATCCAGACTATGTGACATGAAGCTCCAAGTCCTTAAAAGAAGAATAGCTTTGTTAGGTAATGCAGCAAGGAGCACACCCTATTGGTGCTGAACTCTCAGCAGCAAAAAAACCCAGTGTTTTTATACCACTTTGACATTATAGGTTTCCTCTATTTCCTAAGATGATCAGTATGTCTGTAGAAAATTTAGAAGATGTTTTAGCAATAGAGTATTTTAGTGTCCTAAGCACATCATCATAATAGGAATTTTAGGCACATGCCAACAGTAATCTAACTCCTATTGAAGCCATTATGCAAGTACTATTGAAGTGTGACAGATATCCAAGCAGGGCAGTTTTTCTCTACCTCTTCTGGTTTAATCAGCATAAAAAAATTCCTAAGCCCTTGTATTTTTAAAGCAGACATTTCACAACCACTTAGGTATTCTTACATATTTTGTGCAAGCATTTTAGGCAGATGATATAAATGACCTGACCTTGAACAACATATAAATTTAAGGAATAAGAGAGCAGATTTTGCCTTTGACTAACAAAACTTCATGTCTGTGACTTTCCATAATCCAAATGATTCTTATGAATCACCAAAGATGCTACACTGGGGGAAGTCAAAAAGTCACCAGTTGGGTGCACCTAGAAAGTGCCCACCTAAGGCATATACAACACATTCCCTGATGAGTCTTCCCCATTCAATTTACCTAACATATAACAAAGCAGCAGCCTGATTGTGCTGACTTAAGTTTTTTCACCACCATGCATTTATTTTATTGTGTTTGATCTTTCACAAGCTAAGTGCATATTCATGGTAATATGAATAGCCACCACTCTTCTTTCACCCTTTAGGACACTTTAATATTTTACTTGGCAACAGACAATTGTCAAATAATAGAAGGGCAAATCTAAAAAGGGCAAGAACTGAAGGCCTTCCCAGCAACTCACATTTGAATAGCATAACTGATTATCTTGCAACAAAAGACATCATATAAACAGACCCAGAATAACGATAACTGAATTTCACTAAGAGTCAATGCTATCGATTGTCCCCATTTACCTGTTGTGGAAGTTCACTAATTAGGTACTGAGCAAATTTCTGCAATTGGTCTCTTTGTAGCCGAGACAAGGATTCAGAAACAGGTGCTCGTAAACATACTGCAGATGCCTGAAGGAAGAAAAGGAGATATAAACTGCCATTAACAGGTCAGACTTAATGCAGCTGTGCCCACTGTAAGGATGAAGCGTCATGAACAGTAGCTATGCCGATGCATATCATGCTTGGTCTTGATGGACAATGTTTTTTTTTTCTGTAATTATGTAGTGTGTTGCAGATAAGATGCAAATAAGCTGTCTAGGCTTTATAAAAACTGTTTTTAAGAGTTTCTTTTCAAAGTAACTGCTTTAACAGCTGTGCTTAAGATCTGTTGTTGCTAGCAATTGCACAAATACTGGCAGGGATTTCACAAACAAACCTCTAAAATAGGCCATTATTCTTTAAGCTTCTGGCAAAACAACCAGCACTGTGGGGGGCTGTTTCACAGATTCAAAACCACCTCATTTATCTCAATAGAGTTTTTTTTCTTCAGTCTTAAAATCAGTCTCTGTATCATAGAACAACTTAAGACGATAAAAAAAACCCCTCAAACAAATAAGAAAAACTAACAACAAAGCAAACAAAAAATACCAACAATAAAACCACATCAAAACACTAGTTTCTTAACCTCTTTCACTGTACAGAGAAAAACATATCCAAATAGCACCTACTTAAAATTTAACATGGAAACAGGCAAGAGCAGTTTGATAATAAAGATGCTTCTGATGTTGGTTTGTCTACATAGAGCAATATACTTTGGCTTGTAACTTGCTAGTGTCAGCAGTCAGTATACATAAACATGAAAATCCCTTCACTAGCATTTTTCAGGTACAAGAAACGATTGGAGGGAAACGAATGATTATCTATCTTACAAAGGGTCCAAACTTTCTGAGTGTAAATCATATAAATGAAAATGTTTCCTATCCTCACTCTCTATCATCCACCTTTTAAAACTGGAACTAATAATTCAAAGCAGAACTTTTGTTTTGCCAACACTCCAGTCCTAAATACAGAAAGTATACTGACATTCTGATGATTTCAGAAGAGTGTCAACCTAAGACTATTACAATTGCCCATTATAAAGTTTTAACAAGCTTCAGAAGGTTATTAGCACTTATTTAAGAATCTGGAGTTGATCATAAGCATGTTAGCTATAAAATGTTGTGTGACAAAAGAAAATCTTCTGTTCCTTTCAATCACTCAAATTTAATCCTTCCTTAAGATGTATTTCTCAGCTTCCCAAAGTCTAAGGAAATTAATCTGTACGCTAGACTGAACTCTCAAATTGTGTATTTTATATTGATTCTATACATTTTTACCTGGAGTTCACTGGGATAAGAAACACCTACTTGTCACTCTATACAAGGCTACACATAATACAAGCAGTCAACAAAAACATAAACTTGAGTGTTTGAAATCTACAAGTCAAAATGACCACTTACTTGCATCAGTATGTGTTAAAATGAACTGGTGAACATAAAGGCCAACAGTGATCAAAATTACCTTTCTTCTGCACTCTGATTAAACAACTTAAAGAGCTTTCATATCCCATATTTACAAAGACTTTTAATAAAAGACTAACTGAAGAAAGATTGAGTAATTCTAGTATTTAAATGAGAAACAGGAATGGGCCAAAAAGGACTCTGCATCTATTGTTAGTAATTTGCACATTATCAAAGGACGTTCTGCAGGTTAGAGCCTCAGTCAATTCACTCTGCAGACCGCCACTGTGAGCACACATTTGAACAATCTGTAACCAAAAGGAGTGCCAAGCACAATTTCCCTAAAGAGGGTGCGAGCTGCATAAAACTGTAATGAGGAGAGACTCAGAGAAGATGCCTAGGGGAAAGAACTGTATTTAAAGGCCTACATTGTGTATCCGGAAGAGGCAGAGTGCCACGACGTGAGCACACCACTTGGCCCCAGCTCCGCAGGTACAGCTGCATGATGTGATCCTGCACCGGTCAAACATCACTGCCACGTTGTATGCACCTTTGGGAGGCACCATCTGTGGGGGTACCACAGTGGCACTCAGATGGAAGCCTGTTAAAATTCAAAAGTCCAAAGTTACTCTTCTGGTGCTTGGAAGACAGATTTAGTTAGCATGGAAGTTTAAATGTGCCATTTAAACAGCAAAACAACATGTACAGCAACAACATCCATACAGGGATGGACAGGGATTCTAGATTCTCCAGTACTTGTTTCTTTCCAATCAGTTATGGCAGAATATCAGCAGAGAGGCATAACATGTTATAAGAGGTTCAAAAATACCAGCTTTTAATAAACTGATTTATTTCTATTGATACAGTAAAAAGAAACGCAGAACTGGATAAAAATATCACTGAAAACTGTGGGGCTTTGATCACAGGGTCAAAGGCAGACTATACATATTTTAGGCATGATTTCTATGTTAATTATCTCTGGCAGCAATGCAGAACAGGCTAGGCGACTTATTTCCAAGTTAGTTAACTTTCGCAATTTTACAGTGTACTAAAGAAGGCACCTGAACACACACTTACACACTGTGGCTTCAGAAGCTACCCATTTCTCATAATTTATGTACCTCCTTGCAATTTTGTGAATATCCCATTTTTATAAATCATGTACTTAGAAAACAAAAACCCCCTCTCGCTTAGAGTATAATCAATGGAAAAGGGAAATATCAGCAACAACACTTGAATTAACCCAGCCCCATTAATCTGTGATCAAACAAATAAATAATGAACCTCATCTCAGGAAGGATTACAAAGAACTTTAATGAGGGTTGGCTTCATGTAAACGCATACCAGTTGTACTTATAATGCAGCTTCCTCTGCAGATAATCGTTATTTAGAGGCACACATATTATGAGCAGGAAAAGGCCATCAGGAACATGAATCTTGTACTTGTTTGAAAGGTCCCTATCACCAGTTAATCATCCTCTACAGCAATGACCATCAGCCTCAGAATCTTTCTGCTAGTGTCGAATTGAGTTTTAATGAAGCACAGAAAGCACCAAGGGCATCAAAGCCATAACAAAAATTCAGCCCGACAATCTAACTTAAGTGAAAAAATATGGCTTAGGACAGATGATTGAAATACTTTCTCCATCAACAGCACAGGGAAGTATATTATAAATCCACACTACTAAGTTTTTATCATGACATTGTGAGATTATAATAATGATGGTGTTCAGGAGTACACGTGACCTACTAAATCCCATTTAAAACAATGCACTATTTCTTCCTCAAAATATAATCCCCATGCCAATACTAACTTGCTCTTACCTTGCTTAACCTTTCTATTTCTCCTGTTCACCAGAATTCAAATCCTCTTCCTGAAGTGGGTGATTATTTTGATTAGTACATATAATGCCACCCAAATTCTTCAGCCATTCTAGCAATTGGAACAGAATCAAAACAAAAGGCAGCATTCACACAAAATTACTGCCCTGCTTATTACTAGCTACAGTTCTAATTTATGTTCCACACTTGGCTAATACAAGCCAAACAGTTCAGCTAGTCCTTCTGTTACACTAGAAGCATCTCAGACCAATGCCAAAATGCCCTAATTTTCACAAATGCAAATTAAGCATTTCACAAATTGGAATTACAGCAATCCTGTTCCACTGAGAAAAAGAGGTATTTGACAGGTCTTAGAGAACAATAGGTCACAGCTATACACTCTTACCAAGCTACTACCATGAAATTTTTATTTGTATATGAAGACAGTTACCTGATTAAATGCAAAGAGGGAAGAACAGTTATAAAAACAGACAAAGAAAATTTAAGGGCTTTGGCATGACACATCGCAAGCTTCAACTCAAACTGTAGCTTGATGAACGCGTCTGCCACTGACACTGCTAATTCAAGCACCTCTGCCCAGCGTTTTTTGCACAACCAGTCTTGTTATGTTGAACAACTGTTTGTGGGATAGCACAGGAAATCATATCAGGAAAAAAAATCTGGGTTAAATTAATAGTTACTTTTACAAGGAAGTTCAATTTTACAATTCGGTTCACTGCACATTTTACAAAAGTATGAGCCTCCAGGGACTGGAAAGACAACTATGAGGGAGGCCATCCTGCAGTGCTTTAGCCCAACACTACTGTTTAAAGAAACAGACATCAGATTGTACTTGCTTACAGTCAAAGCGCAGTAATTCTCCCACAAACCACAGCTCTTGCCCTCCTGCTTAGAAGTGAAGACAAGTCACATCCACTGCACACCTAAGTGACCTGGTCACCTCATGGAACCCACAAGAAAGTTATTCCACCCACCCCCACTCCCTTATCAGGTATCTTATCTACTCCATGCATTGCAAAAACACGTCTGCATGTACCAGCAGCATTCATCTGCAGCTGCATGTAGCCCACCAGAAAAAAACCCTAAGATCTATACCCCATTCTTGGCAAGCTCCACTCTCAGGAGACATCGAGAATAAGCTGCAGGCCAGAGGAATTGCTCTGCCAGGAGTCTCACTCCCCTGGATACAATTTATCTTAACTGCATGGTGGGCACAGAGCAAGCTTATTATTTCCGTGAAAGCACTTAGGCTTTCTACACAGAAAGAGCATCTAACACTTGTTATGAGCACCAGATTTACTACTCATGTACAGAACAAATATATCAAGCAGCCAGCACCAATGCTTGAGAGGATATGTCAAGTACCTACACTGTACAACATACCAGTTATTCATAAAGAGCACCAGGACTGGACTACTACACCCATGAAGCAGGTTTTATTATGTAGTGAAGAAGGGATACCAGCACACTGTCCTGTCTGGTACTCAATTAAGACACATGGTTTGATCAAATGTAAAAGCTGGAAATAATCAACTGCTGCCTAGGCTAGGACCTACAAAATAGAGCTTCTTTTTTAGTCCATAGCTTATCCTTCTCACTGCTCCACTCCTGAAACTTAATCTTGCAGGAAAAGTATCCAAAAGAAATGTATGTTTCCAGCTGGTTATAATACAGTATCCATAATTTTAGGATGGCTACATAGATGTTTTTTGCATTTAATATGTATTTTATCATGAAATGTATTTATTGTGAAATTTCAGGTCTGTTCATTTGTTTTTCTGAGGTCACAGAATCATAGACTGGTTTGGGTTGGAAAGGACCTTAAGATCATCTAGTTCCAACCACTCTGCCATGGGCAGGGACACCTTCCACTAGACCAGGTTGCTCGAAGTCCCATCCAACCTGGCCTTGAACACCGCCAGGGATGAAGCATTCACAACTTCCTCGGGCAACCCATTCCAGTGCCTCACCACGCTCGCTGTAAAGAGCTTCCTCCTTATATCTAACCTGAACTTCCTCTGTTTAAGTTTAAACCCATTACCCCTTGTCCTATCACTACAGTCCCTGATGGAGAGTCTGCCTCTAGCATCCTTGTAGGCCCCCTTCAGATACTGGAAGGCTGCTATGAGATCTCCATGCAGCTTTCTCTTCTCCAGGCTGAACAGCCCCAACTTTTTCATGATTTCACGTGGAAATGTACAAATTTAAAAACCTCAAGCTACTCAGTAAGGAACCGGAATGAAAAAAATTAAGTGACCTATAAGTTAACAACATGCTAAGAATACTTCTTGCAATACAAGTTCCAAGCTTTCCTCATTGATATTTGGCAGTTCTGATGCTCCTGTAAACAACGACAGTAAACAGACCTCAGCACATAATTTCAGAACTTTTTCTCTGGCTTTCCCAGGACTAACAGAAATGGGAAAAGAAAAACTCAACAAAATTTTATATGGGAAGTAAAGCAAGGCAATTTTGGACAAGTTAGGACAATCTCTAAAAAGTAGAGACAGAGACACTATTCAAGAAGGTGCAAAATTAGAACCAGACTGAACCTGCTGCTGCCTTTCTTAATTGTAAAAAAAGAAATTAAGACTATGACAGAAAAAAAGTCCCAGAAACTAGCAACTACAACACACCTATCTGAGAACAGCAATAATGTCTTCAGCGCAAGAACACAGGTTTATGACTGCTACAAAGGGAATGTGCAGGAGAAGGTGTGCAAAAGCTAGTTCTTTGTGTATATATTGTGAAAATTGTGAAGAGGTGCTGTTGTTCAGAAATTATGGGTATAGATTTGCATGTGGACAAGATGACTAAGATTACTCATTTGTATTTAAATATATATACACTGCAAAGGTATATCGGTAAAAGGAGCACAAAGCACATTTCAAAGCTACGTCCTATTGATCGCAATATTACAATGCGCTGCCCAATCCCCCTGCAAATCAAATTCCCTCTCACTGGCTGCTTCATTTCCTGTGTCTTTTCCCATTTGTCAGTATATGGAATTCTCAACTACAATCACACACCTTAACATCATCTGGAGTGGACAACTGAAATTGTAGCCACCTCACCTGCCCCCCACCAGCTTCTGGGCTGCTACTCATGGAAAAAGAAACCAAAAAAAAAATCCCTCCATTAGCTAAAGTTCCTCTCCTAAGGAGGAAACAACGTTACTGTCTAAACAAAGTAACTTCCCTTCCACACATAATCTTTTCTCAGGAAGCCCAGTTGCTGTGTGTGTACTTGAGAATTTCCTCCCCTGTATCATTGACCATCTCCTCTTTTTCCCAACTCCTCTCTTCCTCCTGCAAGCACAGCTTTTGCACTAACATTCCTAGCCTTTATTCATTTGCACTGCTTTACACCTCCTCACCTTTTTAATTTATTACTGAAGCAAGTTTTGACCAGAGTCTTAGCACTGTATATTAAATATTCTGCTCTTTTCCATGGGGAAAGTCCCAGGAATTGCTGAAATTCAGCCAGACGTATTGTAACTCATTTTGTCTCTCAAACATTTGCCTTCCTGAAGTTCAGCAGATGCCTTAGAGGCCTCTCCCAGCATTTCAGACCTGACATCAGGAGCTCACGAATGTACTTAAAACTCAGTTTTATTCTATTTAGCTCAATTTCGTTAATGTTCCAAAACTACTATCCAGTCTCACTGACAACTCAATATACCTTATTTCTGGTATTGTTATTACATTACACAACAGATGAGGTAAAATCCTTTCAGATGCTTTACCTTATATTCACATAATAGTTCCATCAGCCTTTTGCAATTTGTGTAGCTCAATGACTATCTTCTTCTCTTTTCATTCTCCCCAAGCTTTTACAGTATCAGTCCCTTTTATTCCTTTTTTGAGGGTCCTTTACCTAAATTTATTCATTCCACTGATCACTGAGAGTTAAATATTCCTGGTACTAGCAACTAAACAGGCAGATAGAAAGAAGGCTCTTATCCCACATCTCAGGAAAATACAGGAACTTCCCTCCTTAACATTATAGATTTTCGTATTGTCATTTTTCTTATTACAACCAGGCTCAGTTCCTACATGCCAGTTAATATTCTAGCTGTGAAGCTTAGAGTTGCAGAAAAAAACAACACATCTCTATTGGATTGACATGGCCCACCTTGACATACTAGTGTCTTTATGTCTATGTCTATAACGCCTTCCTGTCTAACAGCTGTCACTAGAACAGCCAGCTCAATATTCTTCTTTATTGCAAAAGATTTAATGAAAAACACAGAGACCAATTCTTTGTTTAAGGTAAGATTAGTTCCTATAACCGTAAAAGATAAAAAGAACAAGATAAGTGAGGAAAAGCAATAACACCCACTGTCCAGCAACAGGGTTTTCCTTCTGCCAAAAATATTACATTAGTAACTGTATTAGTAATATAATTCTTTTCCTACAAGAATAATTAAACCTTGCAAACTTCCTCTCACTCATATATGCACTTGAGGCAAGGCATTCATTCGACCAGATGACTAGAAAACCAAGTTCTTCATGGAGACAAAGGCATTCCACACAGTTTTTTCCAAAACACCATTTTCAGAACATTTCTGGCTTTTCACTCAGTTTCACAGCTGAGCTGACTGAGACTAAAGTAAACACAGTATTTAGCTCAAGACATTACAAAGAATAAATGTTATAATGGATGGGAACCTAGCTGAGGCTTGATTCCCAGTCATGACTAAGAGACTTATCAAAGCATGTTTTTGTCAAAATGTATTCGGTACAGTATATATGTTTATGTTCATTATGACTGTCGGAAAGAGGCAGGAAAAACATAGGTGTGCAGTTGTTTTATGACCTTTGTACTTGGCTGCACCAGGGCACTTGGCCAACGCTCTCGGCGTGGACAACAGTGAGATCATGAAAAACTGCACAGCCCCATGAGTAAACAATCACAGAGCTGGCATAAAGCCAGTTGTTTTAATAAGGGTATAAAAGCAGGACCCTCTTGTAGCCGAATCTGAAGCCTCACCTATGGGTGGACACACCACATAGGAACTTTCCCTATTACCAGAGACTCCTGGGATTCGCTGCAACAGGGCTTCCCAGCCTGAAGTGTGGGGCTGGATGACGATTAGTTGGTAACTGGTGATGTATTTTTTCTTGATCTCTGTTTTCTCTATGCAGTAATGATTTGATACATTGCTAATTTTCTTCTGTGCCTTACATATATATATTCACACACATGATTTGCTTTATTGTACTTAATTCACTACATAGAGATATATACCTGATTTGCATTAGGGTGCTTGTTTGCTTTAGTGTGCTTATTCACTTTAATATGCTTGTTTAATAAACTGTGCATGTTATACAGCTAGTGTGTGGTCATACTGTTGCATACCCTGCCTGTCAGCACAACACATGTGGCAGGGAGTTTAGTCTAAGATGCCAGAAAAGTTCATTTTGAGACAAGGTCATACCACTGCTGTTCCACTGCAAACAGTTTTGGAAATCTGAAGTATATATGAATATATATGAATATTCTTACCTATCTGGAGAGGGTCTTTGACAGCCCTCACCCGGAACAGCTGCTCCCCTCGCTGGAATTCATCTGCACTGCCATTCGCCAAACACGAGTACAATCTGCAAGAGAAACAGAGAACATGTCAAGATCAGTCTGTTTTGGAGAAACTTTACAGTATTATCCTCTTTATTCTTTGTTGACATGATTTTTGAAAAATCCTTACTACATCTTTAAGACAAAATCCAGCTCTCTTCTGCCATTTGTACACTAGAGTTCAACCATAAACATCACTAGTTTCTTCCTGAGTTTGTGTATAGTCACTGGCATTCCTAGGAATTTTAAGCTCAGTCTCTGTCATGGTTTAAGTCCAGCTGGTAACTCAACCACACAGCCGCCTGCTCACTGCCCCACTTCTTCCTACCCGCTCCCAGAGGGATGGGGAGAAGAATCGGAAGAATGTAAATCCCACAGGTTGAGGTAAGAATAGTGCAGTAACTAAGGTATAATACAAACCACTACTGCTACCAATAATAATGATAAGGGAAATAACAAGGGGAAAGAATATGAAACTAAAAGGGGAAAAGGAAAAGAAAAGAACAAAAGCAAGTGATGCACAGTACAATTGCCCACCACCCGCTGACCGATACCCAGCCCAACCCGAGCAGCGATCTGGGCCTTCCGGGTAACTCTCCCCAATTTCTATACTGGGCATGACGTGCTGTGGTATGGAACACCCCTTTGGCCAGTTTGGGTAAGGTGTCCTGTCTCTGCTTCCTCCTGGCTTCCCCTCCTCCCTGGCAGAGCATGAGACTGAGAAAGTCCTTGGTCAGAGTAAACATTACTTAGCAACAACTAAAAACATTGGTGTTATCAGCATTGGTCCCAGGCTGAAAGTCAAAAACACAGCACTGCACCAGCTACTAAGAAGGAGAAAAAATGACTGCTGTAGCTGAACCCAGGACAGCCTCCAAAATACATTCATAGCCTAAAATTAAGCTTCTCTATACAGTGTATTATCAATTCAAGGTCTAATGTTGGCATGCCAGAGTAAAAGCCCCTTGTATTTCTAGCTGTGTTATCTGCATCCTCACACCTGAGGTTTTTTTACATCTGTGTTCATCAGAATAATTAACATGTACAACTTGGTGGTTTGCTCTGTTTCTCCACAGGTGATGTTACAAATTACATCGGCACTTCTGACATTACCTCCCCCATCTGACACCAGCACATTAGATGAATGCATCTAAGAACTTTCAAGATGATTCTTTCTAAAAGAGTGTAATATCACTACTTTGCAACAAAATTCTGAATGCACAGCTACACGGCTAGGTCTCCTATAGTATAAAAGCTTTATTAAAAAAACCCCAACTTTGGTAAAAGATCTAAAAGCACAGAATCTTTTACTCACACAATTTATGTGGAAACATAAGAAATAGACATCTCTGTCTCCACTCTTATCACTGATGCAATCACAAAGTCTGATTTTTCTACTTACATCAACAAAAGGCTTGTACAGCACACTGAGGGAAATTTCTGAGCCCAGTTAAAGGTCTGATTCAAGCAACAGATTCAAAGTGGAAAGAATACCGTGTAAGACTAACATAAGGACAAAACTCTACAAACTAGTTCGGTCAGGCAAATTAAAGGGTGTATTTATTGTGCTATCATTTATATACACAATCTGCACATGTACATGCATGCAGGGCAGCTCACCCTGAAATAAACCCCCATATCATTGCATATCCCCCAGAAATCCATCCACATGTTACAAAATGCATGAGAACGGAAGCAGCAACAAATATATGGAACATCAAACAGACAATGATTTTCCTCTAGTGAACAGAGCTTTTCCTTAAGTACCAATGTAACAGAAATAGTACTAATTACCTGATATCTTCCTCATTTTCTGGGAAACTCCAGAAGGCGATTCGAAGCTGCAGTTGCTCAGGCACTGGAGGATAAACTTTCTCCACCACCTCGAATGGAATGTGAAATGCAACTTGCTTTGCAGACAGTTCCACCAATGGGATCACCAGCCCATCTAGCAAGACAAGAAGCAAATTGCAATTAGACATTCAAACAACAAAACTCACGAGAGGCTAAAGAGATCAGAGCAGGAAGCTTTTCTACTTCCTCTCTTACTTCACCAAGTACAGGGACCAATTTTGATAGACAGTAAAAGGCAGCATTGAAATTTTCTGAAGAATTGCCTGCCAATCTTAAGCCTGTTTTCAGCACCCTAGCGCATGGGTACGCATGCCTAAAAAAGCCAGTCCTTCTTCAGGAGAGCTACGTTAACGCAGCAGACATCAGTGATTCAGGCTTTGTCTCCTGATACTACTGAAGCTATTCAGCAATACTTAAGGTAACCCGATAGTTTTCAAACATTTCTGTTAGAATATGGCAGCAGCATCCTGTGAATGTCAGATGATTACACAGAGAAGAACTATTCAGTGCATAAGCATAGGACAGCAATGGAAAGGTTACCCAGGAACCTTAATGTTGACTTTTTTGTTAGCATTCAGTACTCTGGTTTTTACAATATTTTAATTATTATTTGCTGGTTTATTCCCCTCACCACCACCTTCCATATGATATCTATCTATATACTTGAAATTCCTACAGAAGCAACTGGGAATTCACATGTTTGTATAGTGCTGACTACACCAAGCCCATGAGGATCTTAACTGAAGGCACCAAGAGCTTATACAAATACATCTAACCACCACCTTTCTACCAAACTAACTCCACTTTTTATGTTTTTCAGTGCAGATGATTTCTTGTCATCAGGTGATAGGAGCCTTATGTTTCTGCTTCACTCTGAGCTAGATTACACTTTATACAAAATGCCAGGCTCGTCTTATCTGAAAGCATCTTACTGCTTTACTGAGATCACTTCCTGATCCATCACTACAGCAGCCTTGGTTCCCCTGTCTTCCAAACCCTGTTGCCAAAAGCCTAATTAATTCCATTTCAGAGAGTCATGTTATGTCTCTTCACCTCCCTAACCAGCTTCTAAAACACCACTGGAAGCCAGAATGTAAACCAATCTGGTCTTCAGCTTTCCCTCCCCACCAGCCTCCAGGCAACATATCAAAGGAAAACTTAAGCCCTGATGTCAGTAAACGCTTTCTCACCCTCTGCCTAGAGACACCCTCCAGTCCAAACAGTTGAGAAAGATAGGAAAGAGCTTTGAAAGTAAATGCACACAGCAAAGCAGCTAACATCTCCCCAGTACTGAGCAGACCCCTCAAATGGAAGGATTACATAAATACAGAAAGAAAATACAGATTTCAAACGTCCACATTTATGATTTTTTGATTACAGGAAAAATAGGTTTATTAGGCAGCATTCTCTTCTCCCAGATATAGTTAGTCTTCTACTGTCAGGATTGTTTCTCCATCACCAGTGACTTTTACTCTACATCATAGATGGAGTTTCTGGTTTACAGTGCTATAATCCCACCCACAAGCATGGGAGCAGCAGATTGTAAAATGAACAACAATGGAAAAGTGGAGTGTCCCTTTCTCTACAGCTAGCAGAAAAACAAGATTTTGGCAGAAAAATACTCTCATTTCCACTCTTGACAACCAGAGCAGGTGTAAAGCTTTCATCAAGTCACTAATAAAAAAAATTACTGTCTTTAGTCACTAAAAATATTACTGACTTTATTTAGTGCAATATAGTCAACTTAAATATCATTGCTGCTACTACAGTATTAGTAGGTAACACAAAAGTCCAAATGGAGGCACTTTAATACTTGAAATGACAATGAGCAGTGAAAGAAGAGGGTTTTTTCTGAGGTTTAAACTGCACTTTTTGTATAGAGGCACTTTATCCAAGTCTTTCATTACACATTACTAGAAAAGAGATGACATCTAAACAACCTCTACAAGGTACAAAACTCGAAAAAGCCTTGAGTACTGGGTGAACCATCTGCACATTTTTCAAGTGCTGCAAGCCTACAGCCTTGATGGTATTCCTTGTTACAAGGATCTGGCGCTGGATATGAAGGTTAGAAATGCTAAAGTTGACAAAAAAGCAGCAAAGGCAAATGCATTCTGCTTGTTATTCTACCTTATCCTTAAAAATATTTTACTTTTCTGAGGCAATGGACTACGACAGACACACAGTTACAAGGTCTCAATGGTACTAGTAGAGTAGTACTGGTACTAGAAGCAATAGTATGATCATTGCAATTACCCTTCAGTGTGGCTGTTCTCTTTCAGGCTAAACTAAACTAGCTCAAGAAAAATACTTTGAAAAGCGTTACTGAAATTACCTCTCCTGAGAAAACATTTCTTCCAAGCGGGAACACAACAGGAGCCCTCCTCATCTGCTCCACTACAAGTCCAGTGCAAATCAGCCAGTTTTACACAGGGAACTAAGGTAACAAGCTGACTTTACCTTGAACTCATTAACTGATTCATCAGCTGTACTGTGTTAGTAGTAACCAGCCAAAGACAGGTGATCATAATCCACCGTCAGACATTCCCAGCACACAGCTTGGACATTTTCAGAATAAGGTGAAAACAGTAAAACCTGATGGGGGGAAAAAAAATAAATCTAAAAAGCAATAATCATATCTGTAAGACCATGCCTCTTTCTAAAATCATGGATTTCCTGTAAGGAAAAAAGACTTGGAGGGGAAATGGTAGAAAACAACTGAAAAGTAGAAAACAATTTTTCAATCATACTTTAAGGGGAGGTGAATTCACAGTAGTAACTTTGCACACAACATAAGTACTAAAATTAAGAAGTTAAACTGCCCTAAGTTTCAAGAGGGTAGTCCCCTATGTAGTCAAGGTGAGACACCTATTCTAGAATGTAACTCAAAGCATCAGAGGCCCATAAGGCCTCCTGCAAAGTCAGCTGGACAGTCTGTTAGGTGCTTAAATCAGGCTCTGAATACTCTCCTTTGAATCCTAAACAAAGAGAGATCCACTCAAAATGTTTATCTCCACATACACAAATCCAGGGTTGGTGGATTCATACCTACTTGTATCAAAAGGTACTATCAACAAAACAGACAAAAGGTACTCTCAGGTTCTATAACAGATATATTTTGAGCAAGGAAAAAAAAGAAGGCTGCTAACAGAGAAAAGGAGAAAGCATCACAGCTTCTGCTCAGACAGCAAAGGACAAAAAAGATCCTAAGTTTAATATAAAAAATGACACAGTAGTGAAATCAAAGATGTATTACAAAATTGACAAAGCTGCATGATAAATCTACCCAAGGGAGAAGATAATTTTAAATTGTGGAGCAGACTAACAAGAATCATTGCTTCCTCTTGGGAAGCTGACATGATGACCCAAGCAGAACAAACGAAACACTTCAAGTCTTGTAAGAATAAAGTCACAGGCAAAGCATAAACAACCTCAAACAATTCTTACTTACAGGTTAAATGACTAGCAAAACCCAGGTCAGGAAGGGATTTTGAGATGCCATCTAATCTGTACCTCCTACCCAAGAAGCAGGATCAAGCATATCTAAACCATTCTCACATCTCAACCATTTACTGCCATGTGGAACACATGGCTTTGATGAGGACTATCCTATCCTTTTTGCTACTGTTTAATGTGAATTATAGCTTTGATTTTTATAGCCATTTTATACAGCTAAAACTAGCATAGACATAATTATTCCTGCTGGAACAACGACAACAACAAACCCCAAAACAGCCAACACAAGCTATGTGCTATTATGCACGCAAACATGCATTTTCACCAGTGGAAACAACTTCTGTGCCAGCAGAGCTTACTGACAGGAATACATGTGTAGCTACACTGCCCAACCTTTCCTAATATAGGCTGTTAGAAGTTACAGCCAACAGTTATTCATAAAACCAGATCATGTTCAAACTGAGCTATTATTCTTTCACTATAATAATTGAATTTCCATGATAGACAAATAGAGAAGAAACTGCTTGAATACTCAGCAAAATGGGGGCCATAAGAATACCAGAGAGTTATTAAATGGAACTGAAAGAAAAACCAACTTGGCCAAGCACTGAATGTATTTGTTACCTAATTACATTATTTCCATTGGGTTACTTCCATTTGATACTCCTCTCTGAAAATAAACTACACATACAAGTGAATAAATACAAATGCAAGTGAACAAATCTCAGCGAGAGATACGACAGTGCACAGACAGGACACATTGCTTGTGTTATACATAAAGCAAAGAAAAATGGCATGTTAGGCTGAATTACCTTTTTAGAGATAAGTGTACAGCCTTGATTTTATAGCTATCGCTGGTCCCCACCTCACATTTCCCCTCACCTTTCTCTCTGGCTTCAGTCCAAAAATGTAATAGAGTGGAATAAACTAATACAACCATAACACAGAACAAGCAGATGAAGAAAATTAAGTGAAGCAATTCTGATATCAAAAGCTAAAGTGAGAACAGTAAAACTAACAGGAAATAAACAGAGTGCAATCTTGGCCAGTGAAGGAGGTATGTGGGGTGTGTTATAAAACGTGTTTTACAAATCTCATTTTAAAAATGGTAAATATTACACTGCTTTTTACAGGATTTGCCATGTAGAAAGATAAATCTTTGATTGTGGCATGCATTTCAAGCATTTCTTCTTGTTTCATTTCAGTTAAATGCCTATCAGTAAAATGCCCTTTGGCTTAGAATATATTCTCTCTGATACTCCTTAAAACCAAAAAGTGCTGAGAACGCTCAAATATGGGGAAGCAGAGCAAGCGGTACATTTAACCATAGCACACATAAATCAAAAATCTTAAAAATATTTGGTTTCTTACTGTTTTCTAGGTTTTGTACATTTCCTTGTAAAATTCTGTTGTTGGTCTGACTTTATTCTCTAGAAATTTATTCTTAGAGCTGATGTCTTTAAGAAGTATATGCCAGAGAAATATATTCCTTCAGGTCTCAAACTCAGCAAGTAACATCATAAAACTTCACCTTTGCCTTGAACTCTGTAATACGTGGAGATGAATGCTCTGAATGTACTAAAAAACCGGTTTCCCAACGTGAACATTGCAAAATGACACAGGAGCTTTTTAATTAAAAATTTACTCTTCATTTCAAATAACTTAGATTCCATGTATTTTGGCCATTACTTACACTTCTTTTCCTTCTTCCATTTTACCACATAATCAACATCCTATAAGAAGCAACATACTTCTTTCTAAAAATAAACAAAATTCACTTCTGAACTGAGGATATGACAGATGGTACATAACAGAAGCATGTTGCAAAAGTCTGTAAATAAGGTATTTTCCTTCACAAGCATTTCTCACCCAAAAGCTCCACCCACATGGCTCATTAATTTTAGTTCTCTTTCCAAAGAGGTATTCGATTAACAGCAGAACTGATTTAATGGGTCACAGACACACCACCACAATTCAGTTTTCTGTCACATTAACATCTTGCCCAGGTAGGTCCCACGCCTACAAGGTCCTAAAAGAATGTCTTCAGAAGTGTTTAATATACTTGCAGCCTATGTCAGTAATAAGCGTACATTTCTGTCCACTTGCTGGTTTGTGGCTGTCAAGCAGAGACTTGTGAGATGGGTAGCTAATACCCATCCCATACAACTTCCCAAACTAGAACAGTTTGAAACGTCTATTCTCCATGCTGAACAAACCCATCTCTCTCAGCCTGTCTTCTTAGGAGAGGTACTCCAGCCCCCTAATCATCTTCGTGGACCTCCTCTGGACTCGTTTAAGCAGTCAAAAGCACTTAAAACAATAGAATCATAGAATAGTTAGGGTTGGAAAGGACCTTAAGATCATCTAGTTCCAACCCCCCTGCCATGAGCAGGGGCACCACACACTAAACAATGTCGCCCAAGGCTCTGTCCAACCTGGCCTTGAACACCTCCAGGGTTGGAGCATTCACAACTTCCTTGGGCAACCTATTCCAGTGCCTCACCACCCTCACTGTAAAGAACTTCTTTCTTTTATCTAATCTAAACTTCCCCTGTTTAAGTTTAAAGCCATTGCCCCTTGTCCTACCACTACAGTCCCTAACGAAGAGTCCCTCCCCAGTGTTTATCTTTAAACACCCATGCCAAAATGGGCCAAAATGAGGGGAGAGAGGATTTTGGATAAAATAGTTCAAACTGAATGGACAGCATGAGAAACTTCCATTGTAAAGGCTCACAGATGAACTGCTGGAGCAGCTATGAAGCTGTATTGTGTAGTAAAATAAAGATTAGCTAGACTTATGCTGAGAGTAGACTATCTAATAAACCACATTAGATACTAAAGAAGAATCTCATTCAAGATGCTTTCTTTCAGGCCTGTATTCTGATTCTTACAATTAGGAACTCATTTCCCTTCAAAAAATCATCACACTCTGGGTTGTAGAGGACCTTTTCAAACGACACAGTTGGTCTCAGTGGTGTTCATAGTGGACATACACATACACACACACATCACAGATTGCTTCCGCACAATTGAAGTCAATGAGTGCTCCTGCAGCAGCCCAGCAGACATGCCAACTACTGAGCAGACACTAGGAATGAACCTCCTTGCCCCAAATACAGTACAAGAACAAAAAACAAACTGGCAAGCCCAGGGGTGAAGAACCCAAGACCGAACCAAGACCCTGCAAAGTCAGACCCTGACAGCTGAAGAGACACAAGGAGATGCATCTGCACCCCGTCCTGGTCCTGCTTAACGACATGCAGAATGAAACATCTGAAAAGCTGAAGAAACATTTTAATATTCTAATACTGACTCCCAGCTGTCTTCAATTAGCATTCCTCTGATTCAGATTAATAATTCCATGCCATCTTACCATCTTATACCAAGGGACAAAACCCCACAGTGTTCCTTGTAAAGAGCAAGCAAACCACAGTATTGATAAACAGTAAAAGTTTATTTTCCTTTTACAGATTAAGGAAACCAGTACAAAGGTACATGTTCCTGGTTCCTCAACTATTCAAGCAGTGTCAATATTAATAAAATAGGCAATTAATTTACACTGGAGCACCTGCTGTATCAAGTCAGAATAAAGTCTCAGCTATTTGCTTCTCAGATACTACCCACTCCAAAGCAGTTCCCTGTGAAACACCTCAGCATTCACATAGCCAGCTGCATCAACAAGCAGAATTTGGTGGAATTCATCTGTGCGAATATTTCACTTGCTGTGACAGATCAAGAAGGTTAGACAAGACAAGAATGGGCATCAAGCGATGGAGAAAGGACGCTGCAAATGCTGCTGTTGATTGTTACTCAAGCTTGCTCAGAAAAGATGAATGGTGGGAGCATTCTGACTTCAGGGCTTCTTTAGTTTTGATTTCTCTCATTGTTTTTTTGTTTTGAAAACATTCACACACTCACAACAGGCTAGGAAGTGCAGCTAAACTGATCTAGAAAAACGGCAAGGACAGGGCACTAACATCAGGTATTTCAGGCGAAGTTAGCAACAGAAAAAACTCTAAAAATACGGCTTTCTCCACTAGGGTTGTATGGCAGGATGATATTCTCACTATGCAAGAATGAATATGTGTGTGTGTGCGTATACATGTTTTCATGTGTTTGTGTATTTATTTTATATATATATACACACACACACACACATATATACACTTTCTTCTAATAACTGAAAACATAGCCCTCAATAGAACTAAGTGATCAACAAGCTATCAAAATGCCCCAGAGAACAAATCAGGATTCAGTTTGAGTCACAAGTCCATTGACTTGCTCATTGGATAAAGCAAACAAAGAACTATCATGGTTACTTGGTTGTATTTTTCTGTCCATGTAATTCACCTGTTAAATTTGCACATTACCCTTCTCAATGTCTGTAAATAGCGCAGGAAGGAAGATTATCAACTAAATATGCTTTTGGTTTGGTTTTGGTTTGTTTTTAATTTAGAGAACAGCAAACAAGAGAAGCAGACATGTTCCTTCTTCCTTCTCCTCCACTGCTACTACCCCCACAGGCTTGCTAACAGTATTAAAACCCTAATGGGATCTGTGTTTACAAGATTTTCTTATACCTCTTATTTCCTCAACTAGAGTTACACAACTATCTGGATCCCATAACCATTTTGCAGCAGTGAAATTACACTGAGAGTATTGTCACAGGGTAGAAAACGCAGAGACATATAAGATGCCATTGAAAGCAAAAAGAAGAACTGGGGAGAGACCTACAGCAGCCCTGAGCCACAGAATGACATTTTTATGTAAAAACAGTTGAGAAGATGAATAAGCAACAGAACTTTTTCATTAGTGTTTACTGGATAAGACTGATGAGATTCATAGCCAAAACCCATTAAAAATACAAATCCCAGATGGGCAGATTACAGTCCAGAACTGGAAATCTCACGCTTAACTGACAAACTGCAACAACTATTACTACAGAAATTCTGTTACAGCCATCACAATAACATTTTAAGAACAGCTGGCGTTTTTAAATCCAATGCGAAAAAGGTTTATTTTATCACAGGAGGGTGTCCAATTCATCCCCAAAGTCTCCACCACCTGCAGCAAAAGCCGTAGCACAGAGTCAAATTTCAGCTCAATGTGGTTTCTGAAAATTGCTTAACACACATCACAAACAGCTCATGCATGGCAAGCCAAAATATTTCACGGCTCAAACTCTCTTTTTGTTGCTGTATTTACATTTCTCTTCAAAACAAGGTAAGTTATATTATTTGGCTGACTGTATACTCATATCTCCCAACCTTGTGACTTCTGACTCCAAGATTAAGACATTTTAGGAAGCAGGAATTAGTTTCTTCTATAAGGCAGACCTTAAAATACATCAAAATATATATAAAAAACCCCAAACAAACAAAAAACCCCAAACAAACTCATTTTTTATTCGCACTTAAGCCCTCTAGATTTGCAGAATACAATACTAAATTCCGGATCTGGAGTAGATGAGTTGTTCAGGTTTTTTAGTTTTCAGGTGTTGGTAATACCAAACCTGTTCAGGCTGACGTTCCCCTTCTGGTCATCTGAATATTGATAAAAACCCAACCAAGCAACCAAACAAAACCCCCACATTTCTGACAAACCCATTTCATGATGGTTTTCTACACTCACTCTCTGCATGTGTACAAAGCTAAAAAAACAACAACCCCAAAACCCACAGCCAAAAACCAGCTGACTGCTCACCAGTAGAGAACTGGCATCACCATTGTGCTAAAGTCAAGCATAAGTGACTGTATCCCAAAGATTTTGTTAAAGAATCTGAGCACTTAATAGAGGAGGGTTCCCACATACTCAGCTCAACTCCTACTGTTTCAATAATAGACTGAGTTAAAAAGCACTTTATCTTATTATTTTTGAAGTTACAACTTTTAAATCATAAAGTGTTCCAGTATTACGCCAACTTCTGGTGACACTGCCTCAAGATTTCATAAGGCATGAAAAAGCCCTACAAAGAGAAAGCTGGTGAGGCTTTATAATGCTAAGCAATAATTGATCAGAGAACTAAAACTCTAAAGATGCATGATATGTGCATAAGATCCAAGAGTCCTAACCCACTAAGAGTTTAAAACAGAAAGAGTATGTCAAAAATCCCACAGTTTTTTTTCCCTACAGTAATTCAACATTTCTTCCTGTTAGCAAAAACCTTCTAACAGTAGCAAAACCTTCTACTGATTCAGAAAGGCTTTCTTTGAGATGCTCTGGTTCCCAGTGCCCCTTCTTTTAGAGCAAAAACAATGCTGAAACAAGTAAGCAGACAAAGATGAATAGTAGGGGTTCTTATGTTAGCCTGCACAGTGCATACTAATACATGCAGCATTTACTTTCCCTGAATTTCTAGAGATTTGTGGAGAAATGGTTCCATAGATATTGATACACATATCCATATGTATATACATAGATATACATATCTTCTCAATACACCTTCTTGGAACAGCTGCTTGCTTCTGCCCCTCCCAATTTCATTTGCAGTTTCCTGTGTCAGCAAGAGCACTTCAGAGGCAAAACATCTGACAGAATCCTCTCTTCAGACCAGCACGAGATGTTAATAAGAAAAATAACCACCCCTGTCGTGTTATTCCTCCTTTCAGCACTGGTAAACGTGACTAAAGAGTTTCAATGTGCCCAGCAAATTTTAATTGCCAAGCAGATAACCTGCTGTGTAATCATCCCTCAAAGGCCCTCTTGCAATTAGTAGACAGAGGAAGAGCAAGGCACCTGAAAATTTTTTCTGCTGGCTGAAGCACAGACTTCCCTTCTTTCCTTACAAACTTGTCTTCCTTATGTCCTTCAAGCATCATAGCTACAGTACTCTTACTATATCAGAAACCAGATCTCTAGGGAAAAATAAACCAACCAACAAACCAACACCTGAATCAAGTCTTCAGAAGTTCACACAAGGCAAAGGTGGAAAGCTACAAGTTATATTTTGTAACCAAAAAGATGTTTGATGGGGGAGGGGATGGACATAAAGATAAAACCAAAATCCCTTATTTGGTTTCATGACTCCAGGACAGAAACACCAGCATATTATCACTAAACTCGAATTCCTAAGATCCTAGTTGTTCTGCTTCACTGTCCACATCAGATTTTGTTGCAAATGCATACAGTGTACCTACAGAAAACGTTCACTCTGCAAATGTCAGAACCTCTCAAACACAAGTCTAATTCACATCAGCAAAGTGTATTTTCCATTTAAGTCTATTGCTTCTCATATGCAATAACTGTGAAAAATCTTCTGCACCGGGATGTGCTGATGAAACTGGAGTATTTGATGTTATGTTGATATCTTATGCAAGATGAGATCTATTTGTCTCTTCATAAGCTCTGCATCTCAAGAGCAAAATGTCAGTAATATCTTTTCTCAACTCTCACCCACTCTAACATGATTGAGATCCCGAAACTGCAATACCAGCATTAGGCAGGCAATGCAGCATTCACATCTAAACAGCCTCATCTGGAAATTCAGACAAGAAAATCCTCAATCCATACACCCTTCCATTTGCCTCCCTAAAACCAGAATTTGTATCAAAAAAAGAGCAGCCTGGGCAAGCAACTGACAGCTGTTGGA